TTTATTCTTAGGTGTAGAAACTTAAATGCATTTTTCCTTGCCTACTCTCATGTTTTTTTATTTTGATGTAATGAATGTGTAGCAAATTTATTTTGGCTAGGAAGTGCCTTTAAAGACAAGGAAAAAACCAGATTGCCTGGATTTTTTTTTCCACTAGAATTGTGTGTTCATTGGTGCTTTGCATCCAAACTGTTGGATTCAATACAAACTGCATATTAAAGGTTAGTTAATGCTGCAGAATTCCAGAAAAACAAAAAATGTTACTTACAGAAATTCAGTTGTACTTCTATTTAAGAGATTCTTAAAAACCAGATTTTATTTTAACTTGATAATTCATAAGAGTTGAAGTATTTTGTGTAGTGAAGAGCACATTTATTTCTCCCCTAAACCTCAAGACAATATTCTGTATTGTTTTTAGTTCTGAAATCCATCAGGACCCATCTGCTTAGAGAACATGACAGTTTGAACAGGCAAAAAGCATTGCCATCAAAACCCCTTGACAGGCATGTCCAATATTTCCAGATGGAATGAAGATCCCTGACACTTGGAAGAGTAAGAAATGCATGGAGATACTAGTTAATGTTTTATGTAGTTTATTTTGAAGTCTCTCGGGAGTTCAGCTTTGAATTTGAATTTCATCTTGTTGAGGAGTCTTTAATTCAATTGAGGAGACAAAAACTTGTAAAATTTTCTCTGGCCCTCAGCCCTAAAAACTTGTGTGTATATCTTTGTTCCTGTTGATGACTGGGCTTTATGAAAGGTTTTATTTCTCATATTTGCAGGCATTTTTGTAGTAATGCATATATTAATGACATACAGAGACCTTTATGTGCATGTTTATGCATGCACATGCATATATGGATGGATTTACATAACAAGCCGTAATACTTAAATAAAAAATGAGCTCCTCTTTCTTCATTCTGTGAAGAGGGTGAAAAAGAGATGTGAGACAGGTCTCTTCAGTAGTCCCACCTCTTCCCCCTGTCATGGTTTGGCTTGGGTTTAAGGTGGAAAATGGTAAGAAAGTAACTTTTTAAGTAGTCTTCCCTAGGAGTGCTGCTTGGTAATTTGCACATGCGGGCTGAGAAAAATTTTTACTGAGACTCCATTTGTTTGAAAATTCAGAACTGAAATAGAACTGATATTCTGTTTACCCCATAATTACCACCTCTATACATGTGCACTGCTCAGTTTCCTAATTTTCAAGAACTGTGAGGTTTTAGCCAATTTTTTGAGCCGCCTCTATATTCTTATAAAGCTTTGGTTTTAAAATAATAGTTTATTTCCATGCAAAGGATTCCTAACTGCAATTGATGCAAGTCTGCAAATCGAGCTGGAGAAATCAAGCAGAACATCTAGAGGATGGGAAACAGGGTGAGTTTCGTCTGCATTAAGTCAGTCATCTGCAAGTTAGACTTAAAGCTAGCTCTCTTCAGAGATGGTCAGAAGAAACAGATCAGATGAATCACCTGCTGCGGGTGTCTGTTTTTGCTGGCTTCGCAGAATGCTTAGGAAAACTGCCTCGGAGATCTTGCTTTTTGACATACAGTCAGCTGACATGAGTCCCACCTGCAGTGACTGCTTATTTAATATCAAAAAGTCAAACTTTCTCATCACTGGGAGCTGTTGAGTTGGAGGAGGGATGGAAGGAAGTCCTCCAGGGCATTGCATGCTCTTCTTCTTGGATTGTCCTTTTTCCTGATTCTTTGTTACTTCCACACTTTTGGTACTTTGGCCAGCAGCAATTCTATTAAACTACATGAATGTGATTCCTCCTTAGAAACCAGGCTATGTCCCATATGGATCCTCTTGGGAAGAAGGAGAGATAATAGTATGTCATAGTGTAAATCAGGACTGTCATAAAGTGTATCTATAAAATAGAGTATTTAAGGCCACTTAAGCAGTTTTAGTTTTGATTTGGCTGTGTTTTATGGTCTTCTCTCTTATACACGCACATGCATACAGAAATTTATATTAAAAGTGGTTTTTGAAAGAAGACAACTAATAGAAAACAAGATTGTCATCAGTATCATTAATGCCTGTGCAGTTTATTGAATTTGGAACTGGCAGAACCAGCAGAAGTCCCTATTGCTGGGATTATCTGATAGCAGCTGAGGTGTTGTTAACATATTGTGAGCTAGAACAAAGTCATTCTTCATCAAATTTCACACTGTAAAAAGAACACAGGAGCCAGATTTCTCAGCTTTATTCTGGGCTTTAAAAAGGAGTTTCCTTAGTGAATACGTGTTTTTCATGTAGCTTGACTCATCTTACATCTTTCCTTTAGATTTGTCTCCTAATTCATTATTTGGCTAGAGTGCAAAATACAATGGTAATTCTGAAGGTGCTTGGAAGCAATGATGTCTTAAATCGTTACTTAAACTATTTCCCTGTCAGGAATGGTGCATTGAAGGCATTTGCTGGAATCTAAGGAACTCAGGGTTTCTTCTGTATTTGTTAGAAGCTTCTCCAGAGGTGAATTTGAATCCCTCACTGTTGGCCATGCAGTGAAATAAAATACTTGAGTCAGGATGTGAGTGTAGATGCTCCTTGACTATCTATGTTTTAATCTTAGTAACTGTGCTATATTTATTACTAAAGTTATTCCTGCAAGATTCTAGTAATAATTTTGTAAAGTGTTTTCAGTCACTTTATTCTCAGGATGTATGTGTGTACTAAATGGCAGACTGTTTCTCTGCTCCTTGAATGGATGCTAATTCCAGTGTTTGTCTCTCATTTAGAAGTCAGATGCTCTTTTTTTTTTTTCGTAGGGGTGTATTTTGTTTAAAAGACTCTATGGATTCTTCATAGTTACAGGGGGTTACAGGGGTGGCTTCTCTGAGAGGCTACCAGAAGCTTCCTCCATGTCTTACAGGGGCAAGGAGAGACCCAGAGCTGGTGGTCAGTGCCCATCAGGGATGGTGGTAGCGCCTCTGGGATCCTGTATTTGAGAAGGAAAGTTATTTCAGAGAAGCAAATTGCAGTCAGGGAAGAGAAGAGCGGGAGTTTGTGAGAGAAAGAGCCCTGCAGACTCCAAGGCTAGCAAAGCAGGAAAGGCTGGAGATGCTCCAGGCACTGGAGCAGGGATTCCCCTGTGGCCTGTCATGAAGACCACAGTAAGGCAAGGCTGTTCCCCTGCAGCCCATGGAAGTCCATGATGGAGCAGAGATCCACTTGTAGACACCCCCATGCCAGAGCAGATGGAAACCTGAGGGAGGCTGTGGCCCCATGGGAAGCCTGTGCTGGAACAGGCTCCTGGCAGGACTTGTCACCCCACGGGGGACCCGTGCTGGAGTCTGTTCCTGAAGGACTGCATTCTGTGGAAGGGACCCACACTGGTGAGCAGTTCATGAAGAATGAGTTCTTCCTGTGGGAAAAACTTACTTTGGAGAAGTTAATGGAGCAATCTGCTAGGGGAGGGTCCCCATGCTGGAACAGGGGAAGGAGTCCTCCCTCTGAGGAGGAAGCAGCAGCAGAGACAATGTGTGATGAACTGACCACAAACCATCTCCCGGCTCTGCTGGGGGAGGAGGTAGAGAATCAGCAAAAAAGTTAACTCTAGGAAGGAATTAACCCACCCCAGGGTGGGGAGAAGGTATTTTCAATATTTGAGTTTACTTCTTATAATCTTCTGTTTTATTGGTATAAAGTTAATTTCCCCCAGCCAAGTCTGTTTTGCCCATGACAGTGACTCACGGTGAGTGAGCCCTCCCTGCCCTTAGCTCAGCCCATCAGCCTTTCATTACATTTTTTCTCCCTTACCCAGGTGAGGAGGGAAGGGATAGAGCAAGACAGAGCAGCCTTGGTCTCCTGGTGTCCAGCCAGGGTCAACCCACCATTACAAGGAATGAGAAAACTTGAAATTGATACAAGTATCAAGGCTGATTTCTCCTGATGTTTTCTTGTCCTTTGTACCTGTTTCTCAAGTTGGCAACAGTTGTAGACAGTGACATCGTGTGTTGAGGTGAAGAATTTCACTTTTCCTTGGTACTCTCATCTTTCACAGTTTTTTTTCTTATGATGTTGTTATTAGTATTATTACTATTTTATTACTATTAGTCATTATTACTATTTTATTTCATTATCCATCAAATATTGTTTATATGCTTGCTTTGTCATGCTTTTTATTTTCCATATGTACATACATTTTACAGCTCACTAGTTTTGCTTACTAACTAAATATCCTTGAAGAGAAGTTGCAGTATCAATAAGCATTTTCTTTTGCTGAGAAATCTGTGTTTAGATTTTGTTCACTGAATTAAGAAATGCCATCTGGAAAACAGTTATGGAAGTGGCTGGAAACCCAAAGGGGTCTCCATAGGAAAAGAAGATTGCACTGCAAAGAAGCTGATTGTGAGGATCTGTGGTAGATGTGTAGTGTAGTGCAAGAAATTGAAAGGTTGTCCCGATTTCTAGGAAAAAGAGGAAAATGGAAATTAAAATGAAGGCAAAATTGAAAAGCAGGATTTCTTAATGAAAGGAAAAGGAGATACTTTTGTGTAGAACATGTTGCAGTCAGGGACATAAAAATATATAAACCAGTTTTGCTGTTAGTATAGTTTCTGAGGTGATTCAATGTCTAGCAGGGTAAAAGAGAAGCCTGCATGTGTTAGCATTGCCTAGTCATAAACACTTGAAGGGCTTGGAAGTAAAATCTGATGATGTTGCAGGTGTGGCAATGTGCTGCTGGCTCTGTGCACACAGGGAAGAAGATATTCAGCTCTTGGGTGCTGTTTTCTGCTTGAAGATATTTTTACATTTCTCTTGAGGGAAAGGAATTAGTCTTTAAAAGCCAAATCTGCCTAGGGCCTGTTAGTTAAACCACACAAGTCAGTCTGTGGGTACATTGAAGGGAGAGACAAGCAATGCTAGTTGGAAGAAAACCATTTTTTCCCCATAATATTGGTAGGAAAAAAGTGCTGGGCTGAATCAGAGGCCTGCTTGTATGGTAACTGTAATGTATTCTCTCTTTTTCTCCCCTTTTTCATTTGATTGTTTAGGTTGAATTTTCCTATCCTCCCCTCAAACCTGGAGAAGGACATGACAGCCACAGTTTACCAGAGGAATGGAAGTACTTGCCATTTCTTGCCTTACCAGATGGCGCTCACAACTATCAGGAAGGTGAGAAATGAGAGTGAAAAGTTGTGTGTACTTCTACTGCAATCCACAGAAAAAGCCCAATATCTGAACAGCTGACCAATGATTATTTTTACTATTATACTTCCTGCACTTTTTGTTGAAGTTGCTAAATACACTGGCAATGATATGTTCCTTTAGGTGAAAGTAAAGGTATACCTCCTACATCCAGAATTCAGATGTCAGTAAAAACTTCAGGGTTACATATCAATTTTGCATACTTCTAGCAAAAAGCAAGGCTGCTGGCTTTCTCAGAAGTTCTTTGAAGGGTGAATAAACTCTCCTCCACATTTAGAGATGCTTTAAAATTACCTACAAGCCGCGGAAAGCCATGTCAGTATAACAGTGTGAGCTTTAAAAGGGTTTTTGTTGGCAGAATAAAGATAGAAATATCCATTTGCCATATAGTTACCATCAAGTTTGTGGCGCTTTTGATTTTTTTAGTATTGCATTTATTACTTTATTAGCAGTTCTATTAATCCCCGACATTTATATTTGTGTCCAGTTGTTTAATTTTTTCTGCAGAGCAGACAAGGAAGTCACTTTAAACAGCAAAATCGCAGAAACCCTTTAATACTACTTTTAAATAGTTTTGTTTTTTTAATATTATATACTTAGCTTCCTTGTTGTGCAGCTTTTGGAGATCTCATTTGGAAGCAAAGGAAGTTTATCAAAATTATTCCTTTCCTAGCAGCAGTAAGAGTGTCTCTGACTGCTCTGGGTCACGATTTTTGCTGAATTTCTGCATTGCTAAATACATTACAAGAAATATGCTACATTCAAAGCTAGAAAAATCACATGCAGCTGCATTTACCTGCTCTCTCTTGACTCAGTACCATTCCAGTTAATACTCAACTTTGAGCATGTTTATTGCTGTGCTAGAAGAATATAAATGTTTAATTTTTGGTAAGGACAAGAAAGGTTGGAAGCAGAGGGGAAATATATATCCTTGTGTTTTGTAGGCAAGAATGCCTACAAGAATACATGAACTTGAACCAGGCAAATAGTTTTTCTGGTAATAATTGTATTTCATTTACTGTAACTTTATTAGATATCTGGTTTTTGAGTTTTAAACTAATTCCTGTGGATAGTTGCATTTGTGCAAAGAGGATGACTAGGTATAGGAAGTCATCATACAGGCTTTCTAAAACCCTAGGTGATCTCTAGAATATAAACTTGATCAAGGTAGTAAGCTTTGTTATAAAAAGTCCTCCTCTCTGTTGGTCATAATGCATATGGGATTGTCTCTCCCATTCATTTTCTTACTGTGAAGCAAACAAAAAATTAATAGTTGGTTTCAAAAAAGATTTCACTCATGTTTTGAAAGGAGAGGACAACTGTCTTTGCTTAGGATTTAACAACTTTTTCGCAGTAGCAGCCGGTGTGTGTGTGTATCTCAAGCCATGAAAGTCTTTCTTGTAATATTTTATAGATACTTTTCTTTTTAATTTTGCACTTGCACAGAGACAGTAATTATTTTCTGTAAGACTAGGTTTCACAAATTCTTTTTGGTAGTATAGTGCTGGTGGTGGTGCAGATATCTACCTTGGCAGAGGTAGGAGCTGCTCTAACCTTTCAACTGTGTGTGTCCTCCTTGCTGTTTGAGGCTTTTTTTCCTATCTTGACTCTGTTTGCCTTCTTAATGGCATGACACTCCGAATTGTACACACTGACTCAGTGTCTTGCCTTTGCTCCTTTGTCCTGAATTGGGAAAGCAACATGCCTGTAGCTTTCAGTGGTACTTCTTTGCTGTCAGTAGCTGCTTCTGAAAAGCAATGTTGGCTTGGTCTAGCTAAACATGAAGCTGCCCTGCACACCTGGAGATTCTTCCACAAATTATCTTGCAATGTGAAAACTTATTTGGGTCCAAACATAGCTTTACAGGTGACTTGTTCCTTTTTCTTTCTCTTTTATTTTTAGAAAATAAGTGTGTGCCAATAGTTTCTATGGTAAAATTTTAAGGGATTCTGAAAATAAAGATACCAAACTCTTGTATAAAGATACCAAACTCTTGTTAGTGAATGACAAAATAGTCTTGTCTTTTTTTTTCTAGATACCGTGTTTTTCCACCTGCCTCCCAGATGCGGGGATCGAACCACGGTGTATGGTGTCTCTTGCTATCGGCAGATTGAAGCAAAGGTAACTTTCCAAGTTGTGAATTAATTATATTAATGAATAATAGGCTTGATGCACTAACAAACCTAAAATTCAGTGGCTTGCATTACACCAACAGGCATGATTGTGTACCATTAAAAGTCTATGAAAATGCTCACAGTATGTATTTCCAGAACCTGAGAAGTATTCTTTCCCATACATCAGCAAGTGTATTGTGATCTTCTGAAATGTTTGAGGCAATAGAAAAATACATTTTGTTTCTTAAAAGCCAATCCAGCCATCAGCACCAAGCAGCAAAACTCAACTGACAGTCTGTCAGGTGGCAAAGTTAAGTTTCCAGGCAGTATGCCTTTTGGGTGAAAAAAACAAAATTTCTCCCCATAGAGAATTTGAGTACTTCCTGGGATCTGACCACACAAGTGTAGGGATGTTTCTCTTCACCTGCTTCCTTCGCCAAATGTACACTTGCAGAGTAGACTGGAATCTTCCCATTCATGGTAGCTGCTTAGTGATACCAATGTTTAGCAGTAAAACTGAAAAATTGAGGACAGCCACAGTGTGCACGTGATCACACTGAGCAAATTAAGTATTCAATCTACTCAAATCATTCCATGTTTTCAAAAATAGTAACGGTAGTATAATCTCTGCACTTAGAATTATAAGTTATTACAAATTTCTTTAAAAATTACTTATTTTTTAGTGAATTGCCAAGATTCTGGAATGTCATGTGGGTTTGGGTTTTAATTTACACTCTCTGAATATATGACTCGTTTATGAACTCTGTTTCTGTGTTAATTACATCTTGATTATATTTCAAGTTCTTGTTCTAGGTGAAATTTTACTCATGCAATTTTTAATTCCATTTCTTTTGAACTAAGTTCAGCGTTGGTTTTCATTCACTCATTATTTTTGCCCAGCCTTCACTGTATTCTGTGATTTAGAGTCTTGCTGTATTTAACTACGCATTTTATTGGGATCTTGATTCCAGTTTATGCTTTTTAGTAACCAATTAAGAAGATAGATAGATGTTTAAAATGAGCTCTTTGGAACAACTAGAATAAAGCCCAGTGTGTTTCATATGACAACTCTAGCACTCTCACCATCTGTCCTTTTTGATGTGTGGGCTACAGTCCATACATTTTCTGTTTTGTACAGTTAAGTGAATCATTTGTGTCTGTTCTGCCCTCACCATTTCTAGGTTTACTGTTAAATGCTGGGACCATTTGTTCTGGCTGAGAATGTAGCTTATTTTGTGGATAAGCTTTTATTTTATGGGTGGCTCAAAAAGATGCTTGAGTATGAAACAAGAAATTTCTAAGTAGAGACTTTGTAATCTGGTCCATTTTCACAGATGATGTTGGAGAAGAGCAAGTGATGTGTTGTGGTTTCTCTCTGATACATTCCCCTGAGTTAAAATGCTATTTCCTTTTCCAGGCTGTTGCCTTTTTCTCATGCTCGTGTCTTTAAAAAGTGCTTTGCCAATCATCATACCTGTATTTGGATCTTTTCATAAAGAGATGAGAATACAGCTCTGACATGTCAGTGTTATGACCCTTTTTACTAGGTAGACTCATAGAATCATCATACAATGGTTTGGGTTGGAAGGAGCCTTAAAGATCATCTGGTTCCAGCTCCCTGCCATGGGCAGGGATGCTACCCACTGGACCAGGTTTCTCAAAGCCCCATCCAGCTTAGACTTGAAAGCTGCCACAGATGGGACATCCACAGACCCATTGTTTTCCTAGCCAACATCCAGGTAGTTGAATTCCCGCATTAGGATGAGAGCTTGTGAGCACAGTGCTTCCCATTCTTGAAGTAAGGCCTTCTCGACAGGCAGCTTGTAGTAGACCCCAGGCAAGTGTCCTTTGTCTATGCTGTCCTTGATTTCTACCCACAAACTCTTGACCTGCTTGTGGCTGTTTTCTCAGAGGCAGCTCTTCACAATCCAGCCATTCCTTAACATAGGGGATGACACCTCTGCCCCTCCTTCCCATCCTATCCCTTGTGAAAACATAAGAGCACGCTGTTGCATGGTTTGGATTTTCCACCATTGAAGATAGCTAGGATTTTGTTTAAATAGGGGAGTAGTATGTGGAAACTAGACTTGGGAAATAATTATTTTTGAAATTATGTTTGAGTAAAAACACTGTAATACTTCTATTTCTTAGGCATTAAAAGTACGACAAGCAGACATCACCCGAGAAACTGTACAGAAAAGTGTCTGTGTTCTCAGTCAGCTGGTAAGAATGTTTGTTTAACTCCCAAAACACTTTCAGGTAACCTTAACAATTGTTCTTCCATATTCTTATTTGGAACATTTTGCTTCAAACATCTGTCTTAGCCATTGCAGAGTAACAAAATACAGGAGTAAAATTGAATTGGAACTTTGTAGCTTTTGAATGAGCTGCCTTGATTTGTGGTATCTGCTTGTAACTGGAAAAATGTCTGCCTGTTGTCATGGATGAGGATACTCTGATCTTTCTTAAATGCTACTAATTCAGTTTCATGTGGTAGAATTGAGGAGTTTAGCTAGTATAATCATGGAATGGGTAGGGTTGGAAAGGGCCTTAAAGATTATCTAGTATAGTAGCTGGAGAGAGTGACTACCACCTTCAACTGTGAGGGAGATTAGCTGATAGCCACAGATACAGAATATCTGTATTTCTTGTTTTGAAGAGATATCTTTTATTTCTACCTATTCATCAAAAGCTGCTGGTCACCAGGCAGGGAACAGAAATTCTTTTTGTGCCTAAAGTTAAAGGAAGAACTATTACTGAAGCTATTACTATTATGAACAGTGTTAAAGCAGGAAACTACTTTTCCAGAAAGGTGCTCAGTGAGGGTATGGTACATGCAAATGGAAAGAAAATGAAATTATCATCATTTAAAATGAGCACAGGAGAAAGATGCTGGGAGTTAGCTACTGAAGACTGCTTATCCATGAACTCTGTGTATAATAAAGTGTCAGTATTGCAACATAAGCATGGAAGATGAAAGTTCAAAATGAGTGACTGAATAGTTTTATTAACTTGCTTCTGTGTTTGTTTTTATTCCAAGCCATTATATGGGTTACTTCAGGCAAAGCTGCAACTCATCACACATGCATATTTCGAAGAAAAAGACTTCTCACAAATTTCAATTCTAAAGGTAACTTTCCAGTAAAATTCACACAGAATAGTTTTCAGTGTATGGCTACAAACTTTAGTATTTTAGTTTAATGCTCAAATAATCCTTTTGCCTAAGTCATTCAGTTATTCAGCTCCTGTAATATTTTAACATGAAGTAAATGAACTACCCTAATCTGACAGGGTCAACTTTCTGATTGTTATGAGATACAAATGTGGTTGTCAGCCTGTATCTCTGTTGATTCCATTAGTAAAATTTTGCTTTCTTTCTGGAGTAAGCCACTGAAATCCCTAAATAAGTGAATTTTATTTATTCTGAATTTTGTGTGACCATATGCCATTAACACCTTCTGGGTTTGTTTTTTTTTTTTTTTCCTTTGTTCTAACTTTTACAGGAACTTTATGATCATATGAATAGTTCCTTGGGCAATACTTCATTAGAAGGGTCACAAGTTTACCTTGGTAAGTCACTTGTTTTGTACAAAGCAGCAGAGATGATGTTACACTAAACAGCACCTGCCTTTCCTGAGCTAATTTGTTGATGTGCATTAACAGGTCATGCACCAGGGATCTGCATTTCTTTATTAATGGATTTAAATAAATGTAAAATGTAGTATTGCTTTCATAGTAGGAATTAGTTGCAGGTTGAAACCATATTGCTCCTTGACCTAACAGTCTGACTAGCAGCTGTTTATTTGCTTCTGGTGAACAATACCTTCTTAAGTTTTAGATTCAGCACCTCACACCATCAAATTGTTCAAGCTTGGCTCTGCCTGTTATTTTGGATATCTCACCACTCAGTTCTGACTCTTCCCTGTGCTTTCTGAATGCACAGTGTGGTATTTACCTCAGTGTTTCCCTAATGATGTGTGGCAGCCAACAGGTGTTAACTCAGAACACGACTACTCATGTTATTCTTGTATCTATTGTCGATGAATTCTTGCTCCTGCTGAAAAAAAAAAAAAGAATTTTATATGAATTCTGCTATTGAAATAACAAAGTTCACACAGAATCCATAATGGATATCTCCCTCATGCTGAAAAATGGTGACAAGAAGTATATTAGTATCCCTATCAGCTGTTGAATTGTAATAATTGCTCTTTTTGGTGTCTCAGGTTTGTCTCCTCGGGATCTTGTTCTTCATTTTAGACACAAGGTAGGCATTCTCTACTAGGTATTTAAAGGACTGCACTATTTAGAAATAAAAATATAATAGAAAAATAAACATATCTAGAACATACCTGAGCTAGGAGTAAGAAGACTGTTTCCTAGGTACTGGTATTTACAGCCTCCCGATTTTCCCTTCCCATTCCACCGGCATAACTTTAGTGAAAGCACATTCCAGACTAAGGAGTTTTGTTCATCTGAGGGATTCCTGGAGATTTCTAGGTTTGTGTGACATTTTTTGGTCCTGTCCCAAAGTGCAAATGCTATCTCATTTGTGATCTTGTTTCTATTTCCTGTTTCTCATTTGATGAATGTGATAAAAAGACTATTGATAAAGTCTGTGCAGACACAACTTGGAGCATTTTTCCTGTGTTTTGTAAATTTTGTAGCTTCTGCCATCACAGAAACTGAGGGGACTTGGACCTGTCCTTTTTCCTAATTTCTGTTGAAACTGAGTATATGTGCTATAGCTAAAGTACAAATAGTATTTAGAGTCTTTTATTAACAGATGCATCAAGGAAACAACTTTGAGAATCTGAATTTCATGGTGCATTTGCACCTTTTCAGTAGATTTTTGGGGTAGAACTCATTTCTGTTTAACTTCAGATGTCTGCCAATCATACCCCAGAAGCATCTGTGTTTTTCCTTGAGTGTAGAGAGTCTGGCAGCCACTTCTGATCTAGATGCCTCATCTGTAGATACCTAAAATTAGGTGAGGTGAATATTCTTCTTGTTATTTTGCTGGATTTTTTTCAGTAGTTCTGTGGAGGCACTCTTTTATGTTTATGTAGCTTACTGTTTTTTAAAATTCTGGAATTGCACAACGTGTTCTTTCTGCTAAGCTACGTGGGATTCAAATTAAACAGTTCTTTTTTGTGGAGTTTTGGTTGTTTTTTGGGTTGTTTTTAATCCAGGTGGAGAAATGCTGTTGGAACACTGGTTTTCACTGGTCAAATGGCATTTGGTCATTTGATTGTTATGCAGTGATTAACATAAAACCTTGAAGAAGAGGTTATGCTTGCTCATTATTTTTGAAAAATAGCACTCGTTCACTCACTAACTTTTTTTTCTTTTTGTGTTTTTTTTTCAGGTCTTGATCCTTTTTAAATTGATTCTTCTAGAGAAAAAGGTAACATTTTGTAAGCTGAGGCAGGTAGTTTAAATAGAAACACAGCTGTTTAATATTTTTCATCTACAAAATAGAAGCATCTGAAGTCATATCAACAACTTTGCATCAATATATAAATTGGGTTATTAGGCTAAAAGAAACTGTTGTGTGTTGACTGACAAATTTGCCTCCACTTCTATTCTGTCCACACTTTGTTTCTTTAATTCCTATCCCACCCAAAGTAAAATGTGATGAAATGTGACCAGAGAAACATAACCTACTGTAAAACATAGGATGAGATACACATCATGCAGATAGGTACCTGTGTGGAGGAACTGATAGGAAATGCGGGCACCTAAAAAGGCACAGCTTTACAGAGATTCACTGAGTAGAACTTCTGCTTCGGGCTTTAAATAGACAGACCAAAAGAGACGAGTGCTAGAAGTGTCCTTCAGACCTGAATTCCATGGACACCTGCAAGAGGCAATGAAGAGAGCTGTATCTGTTAGGTCAGGCTGAACTCAGATTATAAATTGGTAATAACTGCTGAATTCTAGGATCAGTGCTTGCTTTGGATTATCTTACTGCCTCAGAAGCAGTGCTGTTCTAGTAATTTAAGTGTAATATGCAAAATGTGAGAGTAGATGTGAAATCAAGACGTTTGTTTTCTTCTGTGTTCATATTAATGCCCTAGAGCAAGAACTTTGAGTGAAATTACTGTATCAGCTGACAGACATATTTATGCAAGGATTTGTTTTGTTTTGGTTTAAAAATCTTATTTAAAGCTTTGTTTCTCGTCCCCAAATACTGTTTTTTATTCAGTGAACTTGCTGTATTAAAACCCAACTTCTTCAGAGTGCTGGGAAGGCATGTTAGAATTTCCTGTTAGCTGCAGCTGGAAAGTTAGTAGGATTTAATATATAAGTTATCAAGACAGTTGTGGAGGTGTTTATTTAAGTCTGTATCTGAGACCTAGATATCTTTCATGAGGCAGTAAATAAATATGCTGTTCAGTTTTAAAATAGATGTAGCAGCTTCTCCAAAGCTTTTGCACTTGTCACTTAATTCTGTAAGACAGATACCCCTTGACAGTTCTCAGTATTTGTTGATGAGAATAAATGCAGTTTCTGCATTAAGGAGGCATATGCTGAAGATGACTATATTAAAGGCTATGCAAAAGGTACACTTGAGAAAATACAATTATGGCACAGTAGGGATCACCAGATCAGTTCGGCATTTGGACATGTACAAAGAAAATACTTAACTGAGGTACAGTTCTTTTTTGAAACTGCTCAAACCACAAGACACAAATGCACAGGAAGAGAGGAGAGAGAAGGTTTCCCAAGTGTGTTCACATTACTCAAACATACAAAATTGTTTTGAAAGTAACTGAATGCTTATGGAACAAACCTGCAGGTTGCTTTGTGTCTTGTTTTTCCCTAAGCTCTGACAGGAAGACAACACTTGCAATTTCAAAAGAAAGTTTTGGTTTTCAGGCACTGCCTGTTTTCTGGCAAATGTTATGGTTTCAGAATAACTGTGGGAATCTGTATGTTCAAAGACTTTAAAGATAATATGCAAGAAGTCACTTGCAATGCCAATTTTCCTTGATCTGGAAAATGCCACAGACTAATTTCCTTTCATCTGTAGCAATTTGGTTGATGTTTTTCCACAGGCTAAAAGAATTTTTTTCACTTCTCAGTGATTATTAGGCTGGAAGACTACTTCCAGATGGTGATCATTTCAATTTCTGCTGCCAGGACCACCCAGTTTGCTGATGTAATTGCAGCAGGCCATGTAGTGGGGTTGGGAGGGGTAATGAACTGTGCATCCTTATAGACAGAAGGATGGCAGAGGGATATGATGAAACAAATATAGAAAAGTATATATGCCCAGATAAAAACCCAGACTGGAATATATTTCTTTAAAACAAGGTACTTCTTTATAGGCTTAATTATTTCTGTAGACTTAAAAATAAGCTTGGCTAAGAATTCATGGTGTCTGAGAATCTAAACCTGTGGGAGTATCATAGGCTTTCTGTTGCAGTTCATTGCTATTAAATAATGCATTTTTCATGCATACATTACAAAGCAACATGTTCAAAGTTAGGCATTTTTAGTCCTGTTGGAGTCAACCAAAACTCTTTCCACAGATGAGTTCAACTCATCATGCTTTTTCAGTGGTTGTTACAATTTGAATTCACTTATCTTGTACAAATTTTTGGGTAGTATGTTTAGGATAATATACATTGTCTGTTTTCAGCTGTGGTACCATTAAATATAATTTGGCCTGTGCTAAGGCTTTGTAGGTATTTCTTTGTCCCATCAGTTCATTAGCTTGGAGACTGGCAAACTAGTGGGACATGAGCCCATCATCAGGCTCTTCTAAAGTGTGTTTCTTTCTTACAGCAGAAGTCTCTTATTAAGACTTAAGTCCACAAACTTGCACTTTTAATTACATTGTATGCTTATTAAACAGCAAAGTCATAAAGTTAGATCAATCTGTATTCCTTTGCACTCTTGATTCCTTGTAATGGTTGTATATAGTTTTTGACTGGTACTGTGCTGATTAAGGATGTAAAAATGGCATTTTTAGACAAGTTTACTTTTGTGGGCATTTTTTGGGGTTGGGTTGTTTTGGTTTGGTTTGGTTACTTGTTTGGGTTTGTTTTTCCCCTTTCCCCCTGCTTTTTCCCTGAAGACCTATGTTGAAGAAATTCCAGTAGTAATATTCAGCCTGGCTCCTGTTTCTTCTTTCGTTGCTAGCCTTTGACACCCCCTTTTGAATTCCTAACTAATTTACTAATTCCAGTCTCTCTGATTTAATTAAGGAGATTCTGTTTTCCCATGTTATGCCTTAAGTGCTTTCCCAAAGTTAGTATCAGTCATGTTTTCTGTTTCCAAAAAACCTTTTTCGCTACATATGAATATTACTGTAATAAATGCATGCAGCATTTACCCTGATTTTAGTTTATCTACATATCCTTAATATAACTCCTTAAGAGAAATATTTTTGCATATGTTTGTATCAGTGTTCTGGAATGGAGATTATTTGGCCTCTTTGATTTATAACAGAGAATTTAATGTGCTACAAATGAGCAAGAATTTATGCAGTATGCCAGGAACAACTTTTTTCTGTCAGTTCTTCAGTAACTGGATCAATTTGGAAAAATTCTTAAAAACCAGTAGAAAAACCTGAATAACTGAGAAGTGTGTTACAAACACATGTATATATATATATAACGTATATTACAAATATTATATAAGGATTCTGTAGACATATCTAAATATTTACTTTGAACTGTTGTAGGAAGTTTTATTAGTAAGTAGACTTTCTAACATAACATAAAAAGCAGTGCCTTGAATAGTTTGCATGTGTCGTTTGTCATGCATAAGTATAATGTTATTTTTCTCATTCTCCCCTCCCTAATTCCCTTTTCTTCTCTTGCATTCTCTCTTCCTCCCATTGCCCTCCCTCCTGCCACCAGGTGCTGTTTTATATTTCTCCTGTAAATAGATTGGTGGGAGCTCTGATGACTGTCTTGTCACTCTTTCCTGGTAAGAAAAGAAGTTTGAACTTCTTTTTATATGTTTTCTGGTGATAACTGAGACACTGTGCTGTCACTTGGAAATCAGCTCATGTGATAATAAAGTTAGGTTGATATGTTGCCTGAAAAATGGGTGACTTGTGTGCATGTCCAAGTACTATGCACAGACCTCCTAACACTTACTACTTGCACTTTATGGGTTATTTCTTGTGCTTAATTAGAGCCACTGGGTTTTCTGTATTTCCTGTGGGTAACATAGATGGGGCCCCTGAATAAGTAACACATTCCTGTTGAGTTCCTTAAAGCCCCAAAATATAAACTTTTCCTTCCACATATGCTCTTAAAAACAAAAAAACAAGCATAACCCCTAACCTTGCTAATCCTTAGCTGTACTTTCCAGGTATGATTGAACATGGTCTTAGTGACTGCTCACAGTACAGACCAAGAAAGAGCATATCCGAGGATGCTGGCTTGCAGGAAAATACGCCACGGTTAGATGACTATGTTTCTGTGTCTGCTGCTGATGCTTCAAATGCAAACTTAGGAATGGGAAAGGGAGACAGGAAGATGGAAGGAGATAATTCTCTGGAAGGTCAAAAAGCAAATGTGCCTTTCTCCCAGGCTGAGAAGACTTGCAATGGAGCTCAGTCCTCCAATGGTACCATGCAGCGCTTGAAAGTTCCTTCCCGTGCTTCTCCAGCATCTTCAGAAAGTGACTGGGAGACCTTGGATCCCAGCATTTTGGAGGAGTCTAATTTGAAAGAAGGAGAACATGAGAATCCAGCATCAGAACAGGCAGGAAATCTTCGCAGCAAAGGCTTGAGCTCTGAAGGCCTTCCCATCACTGTGCAGCCCCAGGCAAACACGGGGCACACGGTGCTTGTTCAAGGACTGGTGTCTGGGTTGGAAGAGGACCAGTATGGGATGCCACTGGCTATTTTTACAAAGGTAAGCATGTTCTTTGTAGCACCTGGTAACTCATAAAGGCTTTTTTTTTTTTTTTCCCCAGAAGTGGCTAATAATTTTGCTTACTGAAGTCCAGGTGGACAGTAAGGTTCTTCAAAATATGTTAGTATGATCTCTCCTAGGCAGGTGGAAAGGCCTGAGAGGTCTTGCATGCATATTTGCATTCCACTTTCATACCTTTACTTTAATAATATTTGCAATTTTTTTTCAATTTTACATGGTGGTAATCTGCAGTGCACTGTGGTTAATAAATTGTATGTAGCAGAAACTACAGTTTTGTTTTACTCTGAAGAATTTGTGATCTAACTTATATAGGGCAAGATGAGAGTACTTCAGAAGCCTTTAGATATCTTAATCTAAACAAAGATTCTGAAAGCTCTACCTTTGCTGACACCGAATTCTGTTTTCCTCTTTTGATTTATATCTATATATGTATTTTTAAATGCATATGTGTATTTATGCACAAAATGTGTATATAAATACATATATACACACATAAAAATATATAAGATGAACTTTTACCCTCCTGTCTGTGGTAACTCTTTCTGTTTCTCTGTGCATGGTGCTGAGCTGCTGAATTTTAAGCTTGCATTGATACCTAACTGAACTCCAGGTATTCCAGAATCTCTAAGGACTCTGATAGGCATAGTCAGATAACAAGCAATAGGTCTGATAAGTAAGGCTGGTTAGTAGGGCTAGTTTCCCATAAAAAACAGGCAAAATGCATCTCTTTTAAAGATACTGCCATTGATAAAAGAAGTTATTTAGTACATTTCATTGTTTTGTTTTTAATGTAATAAACTTTAAAATGAACACTTGCCCATAGTAGAAGATTGAACATCAGCAGCTTGAGGAAATAAATCTGAATATTCTAAGTGTTTTTTCTTCCTTTGCAGGGGTTTATTTGCATTTCCTTGCAGAATATTGTATTTTATGATTTTGTTTAAGTTTCTCACTGTAGCTTTCATGGAAATAGTACACTGTGTGGGCCCAAGTCAGCAGCTCAAATGTCATAGCCCTGTATTGCCTCATGTCACCATTAGAAATGCTGTTTCAACAAAGATCTGCATTTGATGTTTGTCCTTATGATCTGTCTAATGTGAACTATAGCCTGTAAGTTGTATTTTGTCTAGTTCCTTGAAAATACTAGATGGAAAGGAAGGATAAAATAATTGATAAGAGGACCTCCAAGTGCAAACTTTTGTTTGCTGCTATGCTCATCAAATGGAAAAGAATTTTAAGGAAGCTGACGGTTTCTACGTGTTTACCTTCTGTTCCACAAAGGCACTTTTCACTTGAGTTCAGCCAGTGTAATTAAAGCAGAAAAGGCTTTGCATGTCTGAGTTAGCAGAAAAATCTGATTCAAAGTTAAGAGTTTTAACCACTTACTGGAAAGTTTACATCTAATTTAGAGCTCTTAACACAGGATTGTTTTATGCCATGCCATGGAAAGACAAATGAATCTGACAAATTTGAATGGGAGGAGGTTTTGCCAGGTGGCATAATACATTATCCAGGTACACCTGAGCATAAGGGAAAATAGTTTGTGGTACTTGTTTTTTTAGTACCAGTTCTGTAAGGTCTAATAGTAATTTCATCTGCACTCTTTTAAAAAAGAATACAATACGATCATGAAAGTAAAAGTTGTACTTACAAATGTGCATTTGTAAGCTGACATTTGATACTTTAAATAGTGAAAGATTTCTCAGACTTTGCTACTTCAGTATACAGTAATTAAACCTTCCCTTTCCTGTTTAAGCTGTATTTTTTGAAAACTTTCCCTCTTGAGTTTGTGATTCCTTTGACACAGGCTGTTTGTTTTCAGGGCTTGTCATCTCTAAGGCCATCCCTGTGTCTAATACAACAAAAGGGAGTAGTTATGCTCCTTTCTTCCATATGTTTCCAATTACCACGTACTGGTTGATAAAGTGTGTGTGCTTTTTGTTTCTGTCCAGTGTGCCATTAGCCGTAGTGAATAAATTTGCTTTGGTCTTTATGCAGTTGAGCAGCTGGAATTAGATGTCAGGGGTATGTTGATCCTATGTTTAGAAAGAAATTTACCTACATCTGCCTCTCAATAATCCCTCAATGACTAACTCAAAGCCTTTCTTCAAATGTTTTTGGTTTTTTTTTTTTTTTAATTGGAGTGTAGAATACTAGATTAATTTACAACCCTGAAGTGGCTAAAAAGCACAGTGTGTTACTTTCTGTCCTGCTCCTCCTTAAAGCAGGCTTGTCAAAAATACTTATCAAAAATTGATTGCTATCTCTGGTGTCTGCAAGTCCCCACCCAGAAAATGTGGATAGCTGTCTGTAACTTTCCTGCATTATGTGCCTCACAATGACCAGAAGATATCATGTGCACAACCGGAGAGATGAATCCTTATCTCCATTGGCTTCTTGTCTCTGAACTCACCTGAGGCCTTATTCTTGTTGCTTATTATTGCTCTTGTACTGCTTACTCTGTTGCCTTACAAACACATTAAATTCTCGTCCTTTGCTTTAGATTTCCATTTCAATCCTAAGACTGAAATGCAACACCATCTCTTGAAAAATTTAATTCATGTGGAATCTGGTGGCTTCACTTCACAAAAGTCATCTAACAGAGCAACAGATGATTGTGGCCGAAACTGTAATAACCGAGGTTCATCCTGGGTGAAATATGCTGGCTTTTATTAGGAAAACCTCTGAATCCAGGCAGTTTTTTTTAATGTTATTTCTCGGAATGTCTCTGTTGCTCCAGGGGTACCTTTGTTTGCCGTACATGGCGCTGCAGCAGCATCATCTCCTGTCGGATGTGACGGTCCGCGGCTTTGTTGCAGGGGCTACCAATATCCTGTTCCGTCAACAGAAACACCTGAGTGATGCAATTGTGGAAGTATGGATCTTTGCATTTGAGCTGGGGGGAATGCTGGGGGGGAACCGAGGTTCTGTTTTAAATGTGGTGGGAGCTGAGGTTCTGTTTTAAATGTGGTGGGAGCTGAGGTTCTGTTTTAAATGTAGCTTTGCAGTTTCACATGCGTGCCTGAATTTTGAATTCCTTCCATATGAAATAAATTCTCTGCTGCAGAAGTTTGTTAAATTTCTATGATTTGAGAGGACAGGATTAGATAGGCTGTGCAAAACTATTGTCCATGTTTTTATATGTATCTGATATTTGAATTTGCAAGGTATTTGTTAGGGTTTTTTTTTTCTGGTGATGTAATTTAATTTTTCATATCATGGGTTTTTCCATGGCTTTTTACTGAGGTCTTCAAAAATAAGTGCTTGCAGATGAGAATCAGATGCAGGTACTGCTTTGACTTATATCTGATTTAATCAAGAGGGTAAAAACACAGTATCTAAAACACCCACTGTGTCACTTCTAGCAAATAGACACAACTATATAATCAGTATCTGGTAATCTAAGATGGTTCCACATACGTAATCACATTAATAAATAGAGGTGATAATCAAAAAGCACCATACTTCCCCTGCCAAACCTTCTGCCAAAGCCTGTCAAATAAGCAGCTTTTACTGTGTGCCAGGGAAATGATTGAATTCTGGATGAATCAGAGCAGTATCTGACTTTCTGAGAACAGTTAGTTCATTGTTTCTTTGGCCATTTGTTTCTTCTTGACATTTTGGGGGAATGAGGGTTTAGATTTAAGCAGCAATATGTAGTAAGTTTGTATAAGCAATTTTATTTAGGTGAATGTTTACCCTTGGAATTATTTCAAACAGATAGAAGATGCTCATGTGCAAATCCACGATCCAGAACTCCGTAAGATCCTGAACCCAACAACTGCTGACCTAAGATTTTCAGATTACTTGGTGAAGCATGTAACTGAGAACAGAGATGATGTGTTCCTTGATGGCACTGGATGGGAAGGAGGAGATGAGTGGATCAGGGCTCAGTTCAGTGCTTATCTTCATGCATTGCTTGCTGCCGTGCTGCAACCAGGTAGAACATCCCTTGTCTAGGGATGGAGATGAGGGTGGACATGTCAAGTGTTTGCTCTGTTGCTGCTGATGCACGGTCTGTCAGCAGATCTCCTTCTGCCTGGAGTTTCATTTTAGGCCACTTTTTCAGTTGTCTTTGGCTATCCTTGTTATTTCTTGACAAGCTTGTTATTAATCCTTAATTCACAGTCTTACAGACACTTTCTTATAAGAATGTCTTCTTTTCCTTGATTGAATTAAGTTTTCTTCATAAGTAGAAGCAGCTGAAACCTGTATGTGAAAGAGATTTACAAATCCGAGTGTCTTCTAGACTGTGTTGCAACTTGAAGTTAATTTTGGGAAACTATATGGATTCAAGGAGACATGAAGTTAAGCGTCTGTCTTCAGGAAGTTTTGCTAGACTGTTCCAGCTCTTTTCTTTCTTACCATGGTCCTAAGTAGGGATTCAAATATGTGAAAAGTGTAATCTACAGGCTTTATAAGCTTTTGTTTCCTGGAGCTCAAAATTTTTGGCTTTACTTCAGAAGGAATTCTCTACCATTTGTGTGAATTCCAACCCTTTGTGTGAATATAAATAAAAGAATCAGTGAATTTTATTTGTGGAAAATGTTTAGTTTGCCCTGTGCTCACCCTGTTAACTTCATTCTCATAATGATTTTTCCTATTCACACTGATTAAATTCAGATTTTTTTTTTTTGTGGTATATGTGAGAGAACACAGGATTGATAACCTGATTTTAAAGTCTGGAAGATGCCAAGTTCTTGTCCTGACAAAATTAATTATTTTAAGAACCTTACCAGATTGATATGAAATATCAGGGTTTTGTGGGAACTGATACTACTTCACTGGTTGTTGAATTATTTCCTGTACTCTCCAGTGTTTTAAAGGTGTTGTTGTTATAATAAGTTCATTCCACAGTATTTTCTATCGCAATTTTGGAATGAATTTGGGAGTTAGTAGATTTGAATGAGTAATAACAGTACAGCAAAACCCAGTGTATCTGACCAAGACCAGTGCAAACTGTGCTTTTGTTCTTGGTTGCTATGTGGCCATTCTTTTCCCTTTCCTGTCATTGCCCAGAGAAAAAGTCAAGAGACATATATTTGGATTTTTTTTTCCCCCAGTTGAGTTCTTGGAGCTTTATAAATGAATTAAAAATAAGAAAATGGATTTTTAGCTTTTCTCTCCCCCTCTTGTCCTGGTACTGTATATTTTGGCACTTTAAAATAAAAATAAACCATTCTTGAAGTACCCAGGTTTTAGTACTGGAGTTTTAATTGTTATGGACTTGATAAGACCCTGGAAAAAGAATTTTTTTCTTACAAGAAAAAAGGTAATTTTCTGTGTAATTATTAAATATCTAATGAATTTCTTCAAATTCTCTTTAATTTATCAGATAATGAAAAGATTTTGTCAGACTTTGGAACAGGATTTGTAACAGCCTGGAAAAATACCCACAACTACAGAGTATGGAATAGCAACAAGCATCCAGCTCTTGCGGAGGTAAATTCTAGGTAAGGAAACTTTGTAGTATTTATTCTAATTCTAGGGAGTAGTTTTATGAAGAAAAACATATCCAGAGTCACGAGAAGTGAAACTTGTTCAAGTTGATTGTCAGCTGTCCCCAACTACAGAAAGTTTATAATTCCTCAGGAATTGTCCTCAGATGGTTCTGCTTTGTATTAATTGCTTCCAGGTGTGCAGGGAGTAGCTGTGTCCAAGGTTGCCACTGCTGGGATAGAGGGGAGCTGACTGTTCTGTGTGTATTTTCACTGAAAGATTTGACAATGCCAGGCTTGGTACCACTGTTGGCTGTGCATGTGTTCTGTTTAGTGGGGGTTGTTACTCTGCTGCAGGGAGTTCTGTTTCCTTTACTTTGTCAGTTGCTGTAGTGTGAAAAAGGTTTTTCCTTAGAGCTACAAAGCTCTTTTGGTCTGCTTAAGGGATGTTTTCTATTTGCCATGTGCTGCTGGAAGGAGGTGCTTTTTACTTAGTGAGAAATGGTTGTTAATATCTCATCTGTAAATAGAAGGTACATTTCAGGTAGCTCATAAGAAATCTGTCATTTAATAGTCACTGCAGCCCAGGCTTCTGCAAAGTGATAGAGTAGTATATGTGTACAGTATTTTTTAAACTTCCTTTTTTTTTTTGGTAAGTTACAGAGGGAAATACAGCTAGTAATTGTGTGATACAGATTCATTGTGAAAAAGAAAATTAATGTTTTCTTGGGTTTTTCCTCTTCTTCTAGCCATCCATTCCAGGGACAGTACTCTGTATCAGATGTTAAGTTAAGGTTATCACAGTAAGTACATGATACTTTGATTCATATTTTTTAGAAGTGTGGTCAAATTTCAATAACTGCATAACTATTGCTATAATAAACTCAACAAGATTAGGATTCAAATCGGCCATCTTCATGAAACTACACTCAAAAGTTCTATTGCAAAACAGCACCACATCTAAAAATGAAATAAATACAAATGTTTTAAAAAAGGCATATGCACTATTTTCTGTTGGACTTTACATAATACAGCCTTGATTTTTAGCATTGTAATTATAAGGCTTTTGTACATCTACTTTTAATTTGTCAGCTAAAGCTGTTAAAACTTCCATCGGTGATTTGACTTTAGGTCTTATTATTAGGAGAAAATGTGTTTTGGTTTTTTTTTTCTTTCTCATTAGCTGGTTTTTAATACAGCATTGTTCTAAAACTCAGTTCAATGTATGCATAGTGACATGTGGCTTAGTTCCTTCAATTTACAAATTTCAAATGAGTTTTGCATAGTCTTACTTTGCCAGACTCAGCTGAATTTTAAGTTAATCTCAACTGCTGCCTTTAAAATTCAAGTCTACAACTCAGTGATGCTTGTTTTTTCCATAGCTGTTAAGCTCTAACTGAAGCCAGAATTCAGGCTGGGGTTTATGCACCAGTCAAAGTGGACTTTTTTCTCACTTAGCTCTGCTAACCATAAAAAAAACCCAGTCTCTCTCTCTTTTTTATTAATGGATGATCTTTCTACTAAGTATTAATTTGAAAGCTCTGGAGGTGTCTGTAACGTTGGCCTGTTTTTGTTCCCTTGTTTGAAAGGGGACAAAACTCTTACTAACTCTTCTGGGTAGTGTAACATCAGTGTAAAAAGACCAGTAGTTCTTAGTGTGCTTCTAATAATAAGTATTTTTACAACAGTGCCTTTATTCTGCAGGTGGGATTTTGATACCAGACCCTCATCAAAATTACTTGCCTTTGTAAACTGAGCCTAGACTTGGTTTTGGTATATTCTGTTTTTTCTGCTTTTTCCATCTACACTGAAGATTTTGAAAATGGGAAAAGAATGTGGCATGATGTGTTGTTAAGTTTCGTATTAATGGGTTTGCAAAGCCTGAAATGTGGACTTGAACGTTACAATTTAAAACTAAATGAGATTTTATTTTTAAGTGATTGCATTTGTGCAATAGAACTGATTGCTTTTGTGCTTTTCTTTCCAAATAATAATGTCTGTAAGTTTCTTGCAATTCTTTAACAAAATAATGAGTGTAAACTGTCCTTGATCAAAAATTTAATCTTGTACAAAGATACAAAGTAAGCTTTATCTAGAAAAAAAGGACTGATCAGTTACACTTGCTGTTCTATTTAAAGGTTATGTATTAGGGCTGAGAATTTCCAAAACTACTGAAAATAGGACTTTGTAATTTTCATCATAAATGCATTTTGGTAAATGTTTAGAAAAAATTGATTGAGCATTGGAACAGACTGTCTAGGGAGGTAGTGAAGTCACTGTCCCTGGAGATGTTTAAGTAAAGACTGGATGTGTCACTCAGGTCTAGTTGGCAGGGTGGTGTTCAGATGTTCAATCCTGGGTTGGATTCCATGATCTCAAAGGTCTTTTCCAACCCAGTGGGGTGTGTGAAAGGTTTAAAGTGTGCTGTGTAAGAATGAACCATTGGGTGTTTTGATTTCCTGTCCTGCTGGCAGCATCTTTTCATCCTCTGAGGAGCTTACCCAACTGATCTCTGGATAAGATGAATGCAGGAGTTGGGCTTGACCATATATGTGAAATATATATATGTATGCTGTGTAAATCTGTGTGTAATTATACATACTTTAACTAGTTTATTTACACCTGAGAGTAATAATAAGCCAGTCAACTAACAGTCTTCAGTATCTTTCTTGTTCAGTTCAGTGCAAAACAGTGAACGTGGAAAGAAGATTGGAAATGTGATGGTTTCTACCAGCCGGAATGTGGTACAAACAGGAAAAGCTGTAGGTAAGAAATCTTATTTAAAATCAGTTGACATCTATGCTAGATCTTTTTTGAAGAAGCATCCTATTTCTCAGTTGTATTTTGTTTTAGTCCATTGTGCTTTATGACACGTACAAATGAGAGCAACATTTTGAAGGGTGCAGCTGCTGATTGAAGCCCCATATATTGTGTAATAGCAGAAAGAGAAGCAGCTAGATAAAGAAATTAGTGTACATCCCTTTTCCAGTGTGGCCTGGAGGTGAATATGGGAAGAGAGATGTTCAGGTAAGAGATTCCATGTAATCTGGTAAATACTTTGACCACCATCTGCATTGAGTTATTCTCAACTTTGATATCACTTTGACTGAAACTGTCCAAAGCTGGTTGAGATGAGAAAAAGTCCTTGTGTCAGTTTTCTGCAGATTTCACAGCAGTCTGTAACTTTCTGGAAGAGCAATTGTTGCACTTGAACAGGGGCATCATCACATTGTCATCTTGCAGTGTGAGTTAATGGGAGTTTATCCATTAAGGGGTCTGAAAGTTGTTTGGCAATAGCTGTGCCAAAAATTGTTTGACTTTCTCTTTTACTCTGCTGGAGTCTGTCTTTTCTTTTTGCTGTGGTGCACTCTGGTCAGGAGCGCCTTTCAGCCCAAAGTCTACCAAGCCTTCTCAGGCAAAGGACACCATAAGCCATTTCTGCTGAGCTGCTGTGTTGAAGTTCTTCAAATATTATCTGGCACAGACTCTGGAATTAGATTTTAAATCCCAAATTGGACAACTTATTGAGTAATTAAAAAAAAATATTTCTTTGTAGCAACTCAGTAAAGATTAACACTTTGCTATTGATCTTTGTTTTGTGTTGCAGGTCAGTCTGTTGGAGGAGCCTTCACAAGTGCAAAATCAGCAATGTCATCATGGTTTTCCACTTTCACACACTCAACCCAAAGTCTTGGGGACTAAATGCTGGTTTGGCAGAATGCTGCTGACTATTTCAGGTGCAATCTTTCTTTGAGCTGTAAAAAGGCCACTCCAAAATGTAGGAGTGGAGATGACCAAAATAAGGTATATGTTGCTTGTAAGCAGATGTGGAATGTTATTATTCACTTTCCCTAGAGTACAGAAGAATGGTGAGTGTCACCATACAATGGGATGGCATTTGCAATGTATTGGTTATTTAAAGTAACTACTTCTCTTTAAAACTGAGCCTTTATAAAGACATTAGCAAATGGGGCTTGTTGCAAGCCAAATGTGTTTGACTTTAGATTTGTACATTTTCTTGGATGTTGAAGATATTTATGTAAAGTAGTTCTATTTTTCAATCCAGATAGCCAAATATTTGTGAATTCTTGTTAGAAATAAGCAGACTGTAAATAATAATTCCTCTTTTAGGTTGGATTTGGGAGACTCTCTGCAACCCTTAAAGGGTGGAACTTTCATGCTTTTACCTGCAAATTAAAATCAACAAGGTGCAGAGTAAGACTGTGGCTGACAAGAGGTTTTTTTCCTCTGTCCCCTGTATCCATGTAGAGTTGTTTGGATGGATGAATCTCTCTGGCTCTCTTTGTGTCTCCAAATCTGTGTAACAGTTGCAAAATCAGTAGGCCTTCATACCTTTGTGTATGTTTTGGCTGAGCTTTTCCCCTGGAACATGAATGGGATTCTAGTTGGAGATACCTCTTTAGAGAAAGAATTACCAAGCATTTCTCCCAAACTGGGATTGGATCATAGATAGTTTTGTAAGTTAGGATGTAACTACAACACAATTTAGTTGCATACATATGAATATGAAGTACTAAACCCGCTCAAAGCTAGCACAGTAGCAAACTCTGTGTGGGTTGCCCCCCCCCCCCCAGTAAAGTTACAAGGACTCTTCCAAATGAAAATCAGCTATGTGGATTTTCTGTGTTGACTCAGGGAATGTACTATTTGGATAATTGCTTTTTTCATAAGGAAAGTAACACTAGAATTGAGAGTAATTAGAACAGCTCAGTTAGCATCCTTGTGTGAAGAAATATAATAGTTTATTTGAAAAGATGTGGCATAATGCTGTATTTCCTATGTAATATGCATGTGGTGGTTTCTGTATGCAAGCGTATTGCGCTTCCTACATTTCTTGCTTCCAAGGGAGATTATGTCCTTTTTTCTTGCAATGTGCGTGCCTCTAGATGCCTTCTGATATCCCCACCATGTTGTTCTTAACATTTTCTGCATTACATTATCCTGTGTTCCAACTTTCTGTACCAAAAGGCTCTTAGTTTATTGCCTCATCAGTATCTGTCAGCATTTTGCCATGTTCTTTTCTGGGGCCAAGATCTGTAGTAATGGTTGTATTTCCTATTCCTCAAATAAAATGCAGCAGCTGCACAAAAGATAAACCAGAAGGCTCGAATGTTTTTAGGAAATTATGTTTTAATTCCTTTTATGAATTTGTAAAGTTAATAGAAAAGCCACACTTGCATCACATTTGTCACTGTCCAGCAACTTGGTTGTCAGTTTTTTTTGCTTCAGTAATTTGAAAAGATGGGATCTGATTTAAAGCCTTCTTTCATTTTTTTTTCTAGGACAGACTAATAGAATGACTGTGAAAACATAAAGGCAAACAGACAGTTTGAGTAGTTTGATTTGAGAAGGGCAAAAAACGCCCCTAAAGCTCCACTAATTTATTGCTTCTGACACACAAGTAAGATGTATCTATCAAAATGTAGATTGCTCCTAGTCTCTGTGTGTCTTTGTATCTTTCCTCAAACTTCTATTTTATTCCACAACTCTGTAATAGACATTTCTATCTTTTTAAAGACTAGATATTACTTTATATGCAGTGAATTAAGACAAGAGTTGTTTATTCATGGTGTGTCTAGAGCTTTCTAAATCAGCATGCAGATAAGAAAATAAACACTTGCTTTTTTGAAATGACTAACATATTATCTGCCCTCTGGGATTTAAGTGGTCACAGTCCATGTTCTAATGAAGACTGAAGAAAGGTGCATAAAGGATTTAATCACCTATAAAATTGACTCCAGCAACTTAAGGCATACCTAGGTAGATTTAGGCTGAGGAGCTCACAATGGTGAGTTCTAGAAGCCAGGCAAGTGGTTGGTATTTTCATGTACAAGCTGTAGAAGCAGGACCTTCAAGGATCCCTTTTCAGTATCCTTGTCTTTGTAACCTCCTCACCTGAGTTTTCTGAGTTTTCAAATGCCCCAAATTTATATGGCAAATTTATTAGCTCTCTGCATTCCCCTTATTCCCACAGGTTCCCTTGCTGGTCTAGGGGTATAAAAAAAAAAAAAAAAAAAAAAATTTTTTTTTGTTTGTTTTCTGGTGGATTAATCTGAAGAAAGACAGAATGAGGTGCCCTCATTGGCTGCTTGTTGTTTTGTATAGTGATTCTGTTGTGATACTTCACAATTTTTCTCTTATGGGCAAGAAGACCAGACAGATCTTTCTCTGCAGCCTTTTTCTCACTGTCCCAGCTGTCTCTGTTGTGGAACCAAACATACAACCTGATTAAGAGTATTTTCCTTTTGTCACAAATGACAGAATAAAAAACTTACGTTACTTTTCAGTCTTTTTAAGAACTGGCACCCTGCTAGCAAGTTGGACTCGGATTTAAACTCGTATTTAAAGAGTGATTATGACTCAATGAGTGGGTGGAGATTAAGTGATCTTCATAATTAGTTGTCTTCATTAACATCTACATATGCTCTCCAACATTTGCTTAAGCTTACTTTTGGGCTGTAGGTAGGCATGCAGCCACTGGGGTTCTAAGCCCATATAGTTCTCTTAACTTAATGCCTGTAACCTCTTTAATTAAATCCAATGCAAATGCAAGTTATTTTCCTCTCTCTGCTTTAATATTTCCAGTGCAGGCATTGTTAATTATTCAGGAAGGTTTAGGCAGTCGACTTCCATTTCAAGAGCCCTGACATCTATTTCTGCACTGTAAGAAACAATGGGTCCTAAGTGAATTAGTGATAGTGCCTCTAGTCAGTCAGCTGTGAAGATATTGTTACAGCTCTGTCCTGATTTGATGTTGCAAAGGTATTTCTGGCTGTCAGCATGCAGCACGCACTGACTTACAGGTAACACAATAGCACACCTCTCAACTTTCTCTCATCACAGGCGTCAACCTCAGCTTTTTTGTATGTGCCAGCATTTGAGGAACTGCCTGTTGAGCATAGAAATGAGATGTAAGTCCCCAAACCCCACAAGACTTAAGTGTTGCTGACCTTATATTTCATCTGACTGAAGTGTTCAGCATCTTTCATCAGTCATTTTCATGTCATAACCTTAATTCCTGTACACATCTCACACCAGTTTCCTCAATGTCACAATTTAATTAGCATTTTTAGGTCAGTGTTCTGGTACATTGCACTTGTTTGACTTTGTACTTCTGTTTTAAGAACCTTTGTAATTAAATATAATATTTTGCCTAAACAAGCTTCTGATTTCCATACAAATTATTACTAAGCAGAGAAACTAATATGGCTGTATTTAATTGTAAAAGTGAAGGTGTGAATGCAGTTTTTAAACATAGGAACTACTGCTTGATAATTGAACATACAAGTAATGTATTTGATTTTTCCTGTGCTGCTTGAAAAATAAAATACATCCAGACTGTTTAAAGTTCCATCTGCTCAGTAAGCTCTATTATTTTAATAAATTAATTCCACCAGAAGACACTTGCAGACATCTGGTTTTGATACTGGTAGCTGCTTGTAATTCACTGGCAGTATTTCTGAAATTTGTCTTCCATTCAAACTGATTATGGATGCTGTTTTTTGCAAATTTAGGACAAAATGATGCTCTAGAGTGACTTTTTATTCCCTGTGGGGTGCTGCTTCTTGTGGATTGATTGAAGTCCTCAGGAGGTCACAGACCTCTCTTACCATCAGTAAGAATTTCAAGTACAACTAAAATTTTGGTATAGTTTTATCTTCAAAGTAACTTGTAGTTTCTGTGGATTGTGACATCTGGTCAAAATCAAGATGCTGTGTAAATTAATTGCTACACATCCAGTTCTCTGCCATAAGGAGCTGTTTTGAAATTTCAGAACTTCTGCTGCAGCTGTCACTGTACCTGTCCAAGAATGATTTGGTAAATTTGTTAAGGTTTTTCCTACAGTATGCAAGTAGTTGTGCAAATACATTGAAAGATAAATTTACATCATGCTTTTTATGCAGTGCAGTTTCACTTTCTTGCAGGTATTTGGTTTTCATTAAAAAGGGCAACATAGAGATTATTCATTAAAGGGAGAAACACTACATTATTGTATTATAATTAAAGATGTATGAAAAATTGCTTCCTGCTGTTTTGAGTCTTTAATGCTATATTAGAGAAGTCAAAGCAGGCACAGAACTTTACTTCTGTGATGTTTCTGGTCTTGACCCCATTCTTTAACAAACATCAGAAGCAGGGTTTGAATTCATAAAAAATAGGAAAATTACTTCTGTCAGTTAAATAGTGACCCTTAATTCAGATTACCTTATTCCCTGCAAATTGACATCATGTGTGCATAACATCTGTACACAGGTGGCTCAGTCTCAGCTGGGATGGAATTTGGAACTTTAGCTGTCTTGTGTCAAAATTGTTGGATCATACATTGCTCCTCTTGTAATAATACTTCAAAATCAACTGATCAAATAAGGTGGCATTATTTTGCTTCCACCCCTGAATATATTGACTGTTATTGATGAAAGCACTATTACTCTTTACCTTAATAAGTAGCAGAGAATACCTACAAAATCTTTTCTTTTGTCTGAATCCAAATCACCATTAATGTGGCATTGCTTTCTGGATCAGGTAAGCATAATCAAGCAAGAATGTTTAGACTGAAGGAAGAAAAGTTATTTGAGGTGAAGGCAGATGTACGGCTGTCATCTTAAAAACAATATGGGAAATAACATCACTTGCATACTATATGAAATAGATGGAAAACACTGGAGAAGGGAACTCGGTTGATCTCTCATGTCTGAAGAAATGCACACAGAAACACAGTGGAGAATTTAAAAGTCCAGGCGTACCAGAAAGTGGCAAAAAATAACATACTGCCTAATATGCTGCTGTGAAAAATTTGTGTGTATATGGATTTTTGGTTACTGATTTAGCTGCTGTGAAAAATTTGTGTGTATATGGATTTTGCCATGTGCCAAAAAGTTGGCTGAAGCATATGTCAGCTCTTCGGACTCCTCTGGGTTTATAAGCTCTGTAAGAGCTCTGCCTTGCTGAATTGTACGCATGAGAAATGTTGTAGGAAGGAGGTATTTTAAATACTTCTGAAAGTGGAACTAAACAGAACTTTGTGTGGCTAATGTTAAGCATGAAGTGGAAAGAAACTGGTTTTATGGGTGAGCCTGGTTGAAGGCCTGCCTAAATTATGGTTCCTTTCATGTAGGAATTCAGAGCTATAAACAGAAAACAACTGGAAGGTAGCTGGAAATGGGAAACAAAGGAGGAAAAACTCTCCTGCCTAATAAGTTCAGTGGTCTGCAGGTTTGTCCCCAGATGTGCCTTAGCTCTACTGCAATGTGGCAGGTACTTCTGCATCTTAACAGAGGCATTGAAAAGTGAAATGAGAAATACTGTGGAAAAACAGTAGTGCTTTAAATCCTGAAATAATCTCTAAAATGTTGTCAAATTATTTTCCACCCAAATTTAACTGTCCATCTGAGCCCGGTCTCTGCAAAGCTTAGCACAATTCACTGTCACAGATCTGATTGATTCTTTACAACAAAAATTAAACTTGCAATTATGTATGTTTTAACAACTGCAAAAAATTATTGAATGCATTAATAATTAGCAGAGGCCAGATTGCATCTTTTATTACTTTTGGTAAGGGAAACTGAAACTATGTAGGACTGATTTAAATTAGCTTTACTATAAAATAGGTAAACTTCTTTGCAAATGTAGCAGAGCTTGAGGACATGAGTTGATTCACTGAAACTTGTAAATAAATGGATTTCAAGGCCAAGTACATGTTGAATAGGCTAACATTAGGCTGAAGTTTTGTAGTAAGACACTAATTAGGTCTCTGTCGAGTCTTTAATCTTGCTCTATTTATGACATGAGAACTACATTTTTTTCAGCTTGTCTTTGTTCCTGCAAGTCTTTCTCTAATTCTACCACTAGTGACCACTTCCAGACAATGCTCTGGCTGCACAGTTTCCTTCTTGAGTTATGCAAGGCAAGAATTTCGACTGGAGAATAGCATTTGCCAGCTGTTTTTCTTTGGGGATGAATACTAGCTCAGCAACTAGTTGTGTAAGTATGTTTTTAGCAGTCACTAGAGAACTGTTCACCACTTGACTAGTCTTGTCTTTAAATGCCATATTATTAATAGCAAATACATTTTACATAAGGTACTATATAATCTTGGGCCATATAAAAAACAAAACATACAGCTAATGTACAGAAAAAAAATAGAAAATATGCAGACAAGCAGGAAGTCACACAGACTGTCTGTATTTCCAAAGATGTTCCTAAATGGATAAAATCAAGTTCTTCCAGGTTCTGTGAGGCGGTTGTGACTTAGAGCCACTGCAATTTAGTATTTCCCGTTTAGCATTTCTTATTTCCTATTCAAAGACACCCTTTTTTTTTTTTTTGGTTTGTTTTCCTTCTGTATGAAACTACACATAAGATTTTAAACTCAAGATGAAAATTCTCAGTAACAGAATGAGCCCAGTCTGCTCCTTCACTAGCTACAGATCATTTGCAGTTAAACCAAAATCTTTTCCTAAAGCCTAATGCAGCCTAATAGTAGTAGGGTGAAGTGATAATGAACCACAGAACTGAGCAGCCCATGCAGGCTGGAGTTACTTGGATACAGCTCATGTTTTTGCCTGAGGTATGTGATTCTCCAAATTGCATTATAAAGGAGTATCTCTGTCTTTCTTTTTATGCATGCTCCCCTGCACAGGCTTGCAACATGAAAGCAATATAAACAGACCTATCAACAGGAACTCCTGAGTCACCTCACACCTCTTATCTAAAAAATGTAGGTGTTAAAAAAAAGTTTATGTAATGGTAAATGCAAACGTGTTATGTCACCTTCATAAAAAACAGTAAAATTGGTAGTTTGCCATTGTTACTCTGAGTCCCATAAATGCTCACATGGCACAAAATGCCAAAGCATCTGGAAGAGTTTTATATAAGGCAGCTTTCTTATCTAAAGCCCCTTTTCCAATCAAAACCTGTAATAACTGTACAATACAAAACTTTGTAAAACCTCTTCAGACCTAGCCCAAACAAAATATAGGTGTTGTCTTTATTGAAGGCTGGTTGTATTAACTGCAACAAGAAACAATTAAGGAAAAGCCAATGACAGTCTGGACAATGGAGTAAATAAATTTGCCCTTGATTACTGAAGACTGAAAATAATTCTGCCATCTTCTGAACTTAAAAGAAATGTTCCTCCTTAATGCCTGCTCTTCTTCGCTTTCAGTAGGGCAGAATTTGTATCATGACTGGAGCAGTGCTGATTTACAAATATGATAGCAGGGGATTCCAATCCTATGTAATCCTCAGTGTGACTTCAGTACCTATTTTTCAACTTTTACTAGGTAGTAGTGAGCAGAATCAACTCAACACACTCATCTCCAGGCTTTTTGCAGCTTAACTATTTCTAGCTCCCTTCAGTAAGCTACTTGCTACAAATGTGCATGTGGCGGGAGGGTGGCACAGCTCTATTTATTTCACCCAAAAAACACACTCAGGCAATTGGATTCAGTATTTTTTAATAAATTAACGTCATTCAAAATACAGTGCCAGAACATGATGCAGCTGAACATGCTAGTAAGGTTTGTCATGAAGCACCTGTGTTCATGTTAAGTTGGCGGCACCCCGCTACTGCTAGTGGTTCCTGGGATTAATGCCAGAGCAGCACTAGGCATCTGCTCTCCTGCACACACAGCACAGGATATTCCTGAAGTTTGCTTCCCCCCCAAAAGTAAAAAACCTGACAGCTAAGGGATATCTATACACAATCACACTACAGTAATGCTTGTTATTAAATTAACAGAAAATAAAGACCTGGTTAATCCACACTAAAACTTCGTTTTACAATGGAAAAATACATCAGCAGCAGGAAGTAATATACATGAGCCAATGTTACTGTAATACAGAATGTGGAGGCATTTACTGATTAAAGCCCCACATAGACCCGCACTATGAGGGCTGGCAATTCCTATTGCAAGCCCAGCAACTTAAGTCCACACCTGGTAATCTACCAGCTGCTTGGAAGACCTGTATTCTAAATAGACAGGTATAAGTTAGTGAAAATAGAATACATGCACCTCATCATACAGCTTGACTGAACCTGCAGTCATTTTGCCCAGCATGTTACCATACAATGGAAGATCTACCCTTCCTACCACAGGTGTAGATCCATGGGATTTGTTTCTTTTTCTTTTAATGGCATTACTATACCAACATAGATATTAGTATTTAGTAAGTGCAGCACAGTCCTTTAATTAGGCCACGCTGACAGTTATATAACTAGCACTTAAGTAGAATATCCAGAAGTAGTTCAAATGTAACTGGAAGATACTTTCAAAAGAGTTGTAACATCATCCTAGAAACAATAACTACTTTTTTTCTTAAGCTAATTTTCCTGAACTGAGACTTTATAGAACTAGAATTAATTCTTTAGACAAGTCAGATGCTCAAGCTCATGATATACATATATTTTTCTCAATTATCTGATAATAGTATTTGAGATTATGGAAGCATATCTGCTCATTTCACTAATTCGTACTGAATGGCGGCAAGTGTTAGGTAGGGCATAAAAATACAACTCATGAAAGCTCTGAGATTTCTGTCCCCAGACCTGTTCTTTCACAGCCATTTATTTCTTTTATTATAATGGAGCACAGACTCAGTTGTGCAGTCTAATCTGGGAGCTATACAGGTGGTAAAGTAACCATCTCCCCATCCAGCTCAAATTCGTCGGTTCCGTCTGGTGAGAAGAGATACGTTGGAGGTTTCCATGGGGACTCTTCAAGGCAAGATGGATACAGCTTTCCTACAGTGCACCGGAAGTCTTTCCCTAAGTCCCACAGCACACGTTCCGATATGTGCTGTCTCAGGAACCAGCGGTCGAGTTCCAGGTCATACTGATAGGTGGCATACTTGGCTCTCTCGTTCATGTGGGTCTCTCGTATAAAGACGCATAAGGAATTGGAGATGACAACAGCCCTGACGCACGGGTCGGAATAGCGCTTGGCAGGGATGTTGGCTGCCATCCTCCATTCGTTTTTATTCACATCATAGATCTCCACTGTTACAGAAGACCCATCCACAGT